TCTATATCAAGAATAGGAACTGAAAAGAAATACTAATTTTTCGAGTAGCATGTCCTAGGTAATTTTTTTAAACTTCTTGGATCATTTTGAGAATATGATGGATGCTGTGGATCTTCTCCCCTAAACATCGCACGGTAGAGTCAGTCCTCCGCCTCACATTACTGGCCTCACCTGCAGTGTTTGCAGAGTTGATCACTCCCTCCATGTTTTCGGCTCCCGCGTCCGGGTCCCGACTCAACCAGTGAATCCTCACTGAACTCCACGGTCGACTCCACCTCTGGGGCTAGAATCGCCGGGAAAGTGGAGCCGCGGGTGAGCCCGGAACACAGTTACCAACCTCTGTTGTTCACCGGAACGTGAAGGAAGAGGAACGCCGCAGGCTGGGGAACGGAAGAGAGAGGAGGGGGACGTGTGTGCAGGTGACACTCTAATTCTGGTTCGCAGTCCGTTTCATTTCTCTGCAATGTTTTCAAGAGTCTCGACTACCTTGCCTTTTCTCCCCCTTTCCCGCCTCCCTTTGTGCTCCGGAGGCCCAGAGGCGTCTGCGGCTGCGATTGTGCTACTCAGTGCTCGGCACGGAACGGTCAGGTACATTTCAGCGCATTTCAGCGCTGTTGGCCTCAGGCCATCCGGCAATCCCCGTCCCCTTCCCGTACTTTGTTATTGTTCTCTGGCTTATTGGGGTCGATGTTATAATCTGCGGGATTTTAGAAGCCATTGCTTTAAATCTGAGGAAAGGGACATCCCAGAAGGAGAATGGGTTGCCCAAGGTCATAATGTCCGTGGGAAACAGCTACGGTTACATGCCTGGTTTGCTGTCCTGTGCTACTTCACTACACATAGCACTTCATCCCTCTTGCCACTTCCCTCATTTTAGCCACGCTTCAGAAGAGAAGTTTTATTTATTTATTTTTGCCTCCCAAGACTGATGGTCTCATTCTTGACTCCACCTGTACTTTAGTTTATTATTGAAAGTGCTTACAGTATGCCAGCACTGGCGTTAAGCCCCAAATAAGAGCCCTGCCCTCACGGAGCTTATAGTTACACCAAGTAGGCAATTCAAGTAGAGTAATGGTTGAGTATAGTACAGGTAGCACAGAATACTCTATTAACAAGTAATTGCTGGGTGAACAAATAGGGACGCCTAACCATGGTAGGAGAGTTTCAGAGTATCCTTTCTGGAAAAGAAGTTTGATAAAATCTGAAGGCGGACCAAGGGTTGGATTTAGCCAGGAAAGAAAAGGAGTTGCGGCATTCTTGGTGTTGATATTTATTGTCTGAGAACTCTAATGATTATGAAAACTTAGTTCTGTATATATTCCATGCAGTACAATTTGGGGCCACTGTGGTAAGTACAGCGCTGAAGCAGGTTGGTAGCAGTAAGAGTAGGAAGAAGTAGCTGGATGGAGAAAAATTGCACAGGTAGAATTGATAGGATCTGGCATATGACTAGATAAGGGTAAGATAGTCAGCAAAGATTTCAGCTGCTTGCCTTAAAGGATTAGGGTACCATTAATGTTAACAGAAGAATGAGAGGCAGCTTTGAGAAAGCTTTTAAAATATCATAGTTTTTAGAATACAAAATATCTATTTATGGTAAGAGGCCCATTCAACACAGAGGGATGAAAAATGGGAAGTCAGTCCAAGAGGGGAGCTCTTGAAAGTGATTTTGGATGTGTTGCGTTTGAAGTGCTGATGAAATGTTCTCAGTCGAAACAAGCTCAGGTGGGAGGTTAGGGTTAGAGTTTTATTATTTTAGTGTTATGGAGTTACTTCCTTCCTATACATGATTTCCTGGTATACATATACTTTCTGCAGTGTTATATCAGTCTTGGAAGGAAACATTGAAGTATGGATTATATGTGCAATTCATTCTCCTGATTGCCACCTTTCTGTTATACCTTTAATTTAATTTAAATTTTCATGTGAAATAATTAGAGCATTTTCCTAAGTTGAGTAAGTAGGGTTTTTTTGTACTGATTATGAGAATACTAGTTATGCAGTGGGTTTTTCATTCTAATTTTTAAGTGCCTCATGTGTTAGCCTCCAACATTTTTATAAGCAGATCAAATAGTTTGTTTCAGCATTTTTGGAAATAGCCATTTTCTTTTTCATTAAAGGGTCTCTGACCTGACACTACCATTTGCTAGCTTTGAGAACTTGATATAGTATTTAACCCAGGGTCTGATGCAGGGTCTTGAGATTAGTTGCATCAGAATCACCTGGGGTCTTGGTTAAATGCAGATCCTTGGACGCCATTCCAAACTTACCAACCAAGAATCTCAGAAATCCAAGGTTTAAATAAGCTCCCTAGGTGATTCACATGACCTCTAAAGGTTAGGAACTATTAACCTCTTTGAGCAGCAGTTTCTTCAGTAAAACAGGAATAATAAAACCTGCCCTATAAGATTGTAAGAATTTAAATAACATACATTACATAGCTACTTAAATGTGATCCTCAGATAGTCCTCTGATGGGCACCATCAGCATTACTTGAAAGCTCTTTAGAAATGCAAAATCTCGAATCCTTCACAAAGCTACTGAAGCACATTTCCTTGGTGGGACCAAAGACTCTGTGTTTTAACAAATCCTCTAGGTAATTCCTATGCATTTTAAAGTTTGAGAAACAGGGCTCTATCCTGTTTGCTTCATAAAGATAGGGACAATAAAATTCTTATTTACTAATATATCATCAATGTCTAGGATAGTGCCCAGCACAGAGTAGATATTCACTATATTTAATGAATGACTTTTTTTATGCTATACTCTGTTACCGAAACCAACTTATTAGTTTTTAAAGTTCTTTAATATCAAATCTTAAAAAAAAAAATTCTGTTCCATTTTAATTTAACTAAAAATGGTGATTGGTTAAATGACACATTAGCACAGTGAGAAAGTTGACCGCATTAGAATGACACCCAGAATTTTTTAAAAAAAATAAAGTAACCTTTTTTAGATAGAAATTTCTTTTCATATTGTTTAATTATGACTTTTTAAAGAGGTATTATTTTATCATTAAGAGCAAGGATTTGGCAGTCAGATTTGAGTTTGAGAATAATAAATTGAAATTTGTGAACAATGTCAGTGTTTTGACCTTTTTTTTTTTTTAACGTCATGGAACACAAAGTGATATTTATACCAAACCCTAAGGTGAGTGGAGGGAGGTAAGAGACAGGAGCACCAGCATTCCAGGCCTCACCCAGTCACACCATGGACTAGGACTAGGAGCTCAATGTCTCAGCACACATGTAACCCATTTGTGGCATACCATTGTGTCTTAGGCCTTAGTGAGAGCCAAGCTTCATGACCTTGGTTAAGTTACTTCACTTCTCTGGTTTTCAGTTTTCTTAAATGCAAAATGGGGATAATACTTATCTTATGGAGTTGATGTGGGTATGAGAAAATTTACCAAAAATATGTTGCATAAAGTTAGGCACATAGTATATGTTCAATAAATGTTAAATTGCTATTGTTATGGTTGTTAACACTAATAATAGAAGCACTAGATCATTCTGCAATATAAACAGGTATCAATGCATTATGTTGTACACCTGAAACTAATGTAATGTTATATGTCAATTGTACCACAAACAAAAAAAAGCAAAAGGGAAGTGCTTGAATTGAAAAATTTAGAAACACATGGAAACATTTTTTTGAGTCCTTGCTTTATTATTTTGCATTTTATATATATATATTTATAATAATAATAATCATCATCATCATTATTATTTTTTTTTACTACATCTTTCTAGGACAAAAAATAAGATCCAAAGATATTTTGGCACTAACAACGTGATCTATAGCAAGAAAGATGGGCATTCTGTTCCAATCCATGAGATTTCCAAGGAGACAGAGAGCCAAGACAGTGTAAAAGAAAATACAAAAAAGGATTTGTTAAATATCATTAAAAGCATGAAAGTTGAATTAAGCACAGTAAATGTACAAACCACAAAGCCACCCAACAGAAGACCACTTAAAAGTTTGGCGGATACAATTGGCAAGCTCCAAAAAGCTACAGAAGATGCTGCAAAGAAGAGGTAAATTGAATTACAATTTGAATGTTCTTTGAAAGTGATTTTTCAAATTCTAGTAAGCTTTTTCTTTCAGAAAAAAAAAAAATTTAATCTTTCCTCCATTTGCAAATGTTTCTTTAAATTCAAATTAGACCACTTACTCTTCCCTAAATACATCTTCCTCTGTTCTTTTGTTTAGGCCTGATAAATACATTCTCTTTTGCCTTTTACGATTTATCTGCCTTCTAAACCCTGTAGCAACTCTTGGCTCTGCAAAGCTTTCCCTAACCTTCCTGGTCCCTGATCCCATTTCTCCTTTTTGAGCCTTTATGTAGCAAGTATCATCTCAATACTAGTTAGTCTGATAAGACCTTTATCTCTACTTTTTACCCTATCATCACATCATTAAAAAAAATTCTTTTACCTTTTACCTAATTCTCCACTTGTTTGATTTATCTCCCTTACTGGAAAGATAGCTCTTCAGAGCAGGACCTGTGTGCCTCATTATTGCTCTTCTAGGATTTAGCACAGTATCTAACAATAAATGACAGATGATGCTTATTGATTTACTGTTACCAGTGTCTTTAAACCAAATGGATTCATAGATTTGCATTTTTGTGGAATACTCATTCATCTATAAAATAAGAGACGTGAAAACTGTGTTCCAGAAAAACTACAAACTAAATACCTGCAAACAGATCATCTTAAGTGCATGTAGTAGCTAGATACATGAAACCTATACTGAAGCCTTTTATAAAGTGAAGCTTTTAAAAGTAAAACAATCATTATTATATACCATTATATATAATTTACAAATTTTACAATATTCAGTGATCACTGCTCAATCTATTTTATCTATGTGGATTTTGTCTGATGTTTTGGTGAATTTTCTGAAGGCTAGACAAACTTGAAGCAAACATGTGGACTCTTAGAGACTTCTGAGTGACAGTGCAGTGTACTTTAGGAGGTAAGGAGATAGTGGGCAGTGGTCAACAATAAGCCTGACCTAGACTTGAATAAAAGCTCTGCCCATTCTGGCAGAATTTTTTAATTTAAAAGTTTAAATGAAAATAGACTACATGGGAGATACTGAATTAATGGAGGCTAAATATCAATTTGTAAACAGAGACTCTAATAATTTCTTGAAAAATGCTGTTATTGTCCTATATTTAAATAAAGAGTTATCTGTAAACAATTTAGGAAAAGAGCAGTGATCTAATTGAGAATTTCACACATTCTCTTACATGCTAGTCAATATCTGCCATTCATTTGCCTCTTTAAGCTGTTACTTAACAAATAGTTTACATCCTAATTTGAAGGTAGCTTCATGTCTCTGAAGGACTTGTTTATGTGAAATTTCCATATAAAAAATTCCACCTAGCATAGAATTTTAGCGTGTTGTTTACAACTTTTATGACTTCCTTTGACCTATAATTATCAGTGTTCTGAGCTTATGTGGTTTTCTCAAAATATCGTAATTACTTGTGCTTGTCAAGAGTATTAGATTTCACAGATTCTAAGGGCAATCAGTGATACTTTAGCATTTGTGTTGTAGTTTAAATAGTGGTACTCTGTTTTAGTGATTATTAAATGTCTTGTGTCAGTGACATCATTGATTCAAGTAATAAGGTATATGGCTTTAAGAGCCTCATTACTGATTTCTCTTAGCAGAATAAATAAATATGGTAGGTTCCTTTTTTCCAGAATGACTTAATTTTTTATTATTTCCAGAATTTTTATGGAATCTCTTGTTTTCTACATTGTAACATGTATCAAAAATACCTCTGGAAAGCATAGTTGGGTGGTAGAGAGTTAGCTAATTCAAACAGTGAGTCAGACAGTGAGCCTATAATAGTTACCTCTTCTTTATCCTTTTAGAAACAAAATAAAATATTATATGTGTTTACAGAACAGTTAATACACATACATGCATATATACTTATCCAGAGTGAGGTGTTTTTTTAGCTCTCAGACCTGTTTATGACCCAGTGTGCTTTTTATTATAGTTATACAATTTAACTATTGTAGAAGTGGTTAAAATGAGTAGAATGCTGTGCAAAGATTCAGTAAAGGTAATTTTTGAAACTGCTTTCCAAATAGGTATAAATGAGACAAGCATAAAAATTTAGGAAAATTCTATACTCAGATTACTTTGTAAGTATTTTTAAGTTCTTGCTCCATGTTTCTACTTAAAGAAACTGAAACTGGAAATATTGGAGAATGTACTAGTGTGTGGTATATATGGGAATGATATATCTTGGAACTTCTGTCATTGGTCCTATGTTCAAAGAGTAAGCTTGGTCCTACATCAAAGATCGGTGAATGAAGTACATTTGTTTTGAGTTTTTAAAATATATTTTTTGGTGACATCAGCAGCATGGCATCGTCAGAGGTCCTCTAGGTCTTTCCCCTTGAAGATCACAAGTTGGACAACTATAATTCAACAAAGGATTCCCTGCTCAACACATAAACACGTCTAAGAGAGCCTCTCATTGAAACATCTGAAGGTGGGCGTAAGAGAGGAGGGAAAGGGGGAGAACAGAGACGGGTGCCACAGATGCAGCCCAGATCTCACTGCAGCTCCAGGGGACTCAGGAACAGGGAAAGGCGGGTTACAGTGCACGCATTCTGCAGCCCTGAGGAACAGGGGGGTAGAATCAACATTCTTGCCTGAGTAACTAGCACATATTGCAGCTGAACCCATGAGCAGAGATAGAACACAATGGTGTGGCAGCTGTAGTCTAGCAGCCATCATTACCTGGCAGAAAACAAACCACCTCCCCTCACTCTTTCAGAGAAGCAGCCCCAGCAGGCTCTGTAGCAGCAGAAGTCTTGTGGTACAGCACACATTCTCAGTTCTCTGCAGCCCTGAGGATTAGAGGGCAGAAACTTCTCCATGAACAGCAGGTGCACGCTGCAGCTAAACTCAGTGACGGGCAGAAATACAGAAGTGTGGCAGCTGAGGTCTGGCAGCTGCCATTTCAGGGCCACAAATGCACAAACTGGCTTTCCCCCACCCATTGCAGCAAAGCCTGGTGGAGGCACCTGGGACATCTCAGATAGTATAGCACTGTTGGCAGCATCTGGTTTCCGGAGGCAGCGCTGGGATCTTGCAGGCATGGATCCCTATCTCCCACCACACTTCCCCACAGGGGTGGAGTCCTGAGGTGGAGGTGACCTGGTCACAGAGGGGACGCCCACTTCCCCCGAGAATATAGGGCATTTTTCACTGCCTAGGCAACACCACCCCACAGAAATCCTGGAAGCCATAGCAGTGTAAGAGAAAATAAAAACTTGTGCTTCAGTGCCACCTACTGGAAAACAAAAGAAAGACCTCTACTTATCAACCTAAAGTAGTGAAGTGTCGAACACTTTTTTAAAATGCAGATTTCATTTCCATAAATGCTTAGGCAGAGAAATAATCCATCCAATACCATACATAGCCAAGGTAACAAGATAGCTAAGAAGGAATGAAAAATCTCCAGAAAATAAACTTGGAAATATGTGATTTAAATAACAGAGAATTCAAGATTGCAGTTCTGAAAAAACTCAGATACAAGAAAACTCAGGCCGTTTAATGAACTCAAAAATAAAATCAAGCAAAAGGGGTACTTTATCAAAGAGATCGAAACTTAAGAAAGAACCAAATTCTGGAGTTGAATAACTCAATAAAAGATGAAGAATGAACTA